TTATTGGTTGCTTAATTTGGTGAGCTCTTAATTTCACATAAACTTGAAATATCACATTCTTGCAAATAAACTGCTTGTAGTGTGAAAGTTAATGGTGAATATGATTTTTGAAGCCTTTAAAATGTTAAAGATTCAATCTTTAATGGTTCAAATGGTTAAATCTTAACTTGCTAAATTGCTTAATGAACAAATTTTTGGTTTTAATCATTTTGGAAGTTGATTAAAATCTTAAGTGTTCATACTTGTGCTTGAAATATCATTACTCTTCATATTGGAAGGTTGTAATGTTCATATGTGCATAAGTAAATGTTGGATAATTTTTTTTTCATTGGATGATTATTTATATATTCAACTATTTATTGGCAATTCTCATTATTAATTTATGTTGGTTATATTAATTGTGAGAATAGCCCTCAATTTTTTGTTGCATCAAGTTGAGCCAAAAATAATTTAAAGAATGGTTCTTGAATTAATTTTGGTTTGTGCACTAAAATTGAATTTATTTAATTAAGTTGGACTTGTTATATTTTCAATATAGCTTAATATAAGTTCTAAAATTAATTTAGAATTAATTTTAAAGTCACACAAAAAATCGGAATAAAATCCCGAAGCACAACAAGCACAAAATCGAAGCCCAAGCACCTAAGCTCGGCTAGCAGGGCTGCTTGTGCAGCCCGCATGTTGTTGTCGAGCCAAGTGTGTGTGTGCGTGTGCGAGCAGGTACACGGAGGGTGCGGAAGGCTAGCTCGCAAGCACTGCTAGGCAGCGCGCGTATATCAAGTGCTAGAAGGCACAACACAAGCTGCTAGCGCCAGCAGTGTGCACGCATGCATAGCATGTTGCGAGGCTACTAGTGCCAGCAGGTGTGCCATGCGCTGCTAGCTGAGCGTGCTAGCACCCGCACGCGGCTATTGGCTAGGGTGTCTAGTAACCCTAGCGCCTTGGCTTGAATGCTAGGCACTCGCCTTTTTAGGGTTTGCTATTTTGCGGTTTTATTAAAATGAGGCTAGACCTCGGTTTTTCTAATACTTACAATTTTTGACATATTTTTGGGCGAACCGGCTTGATTAATTTAAATTAGATTAAGGGTATTTTGATTTTTACCACCTTCAAATAACCAAATAATTGAATTTACCACCTCCAAAAAAAAAGATTTACTTTACCACCAGCAAAATTTCCAAAAAATCGATTTTACCACCAACTACCAGATTCCGTCCATGAATCCGTTAGTAGGGCCCACATTTTTGATGTTTCTTCTTCATCTTCCCCGATCTTCCATGTCAACCAACCAGCAACGAAATCAACTACCTCGGTTGGTCGGAATTTCGTGTGGGTTTCGCGTCTGGGTGGTGGTGGTTTCGAGTCGCGATGGTTTCGCGTCTGGCTGGCGTGGTTTCTGGTGGGTGGTGGTGGTTTTGAGTCGGGGTGGTTTCGCGTCTGGGTGGCGGTTGTTTCTGGTCTGGGTTTGGATGGTGGTGGGGTTGGTCGTAGCTGTTAGGTGGTGGCTAGGGTTTTGAGGTCGGAAATTGGTGGAAAGGGGTAGAAATCGGTGCGGCTGTGGTGTGCGGTGCGGTGGTAGCGATTAGGTGGTGGGTTGGTCGTAGCTATTAGGTGTTGACTAGGGTTTTGAGGTCGGAAATTGGTGGAAAGGGGGTCGAAATCGACGCGGCTGTGGTGTGCGGTGCGGTGGTAGCGGTTAGGTGGTGGGGTTGGTCGTAGCTGTTAGGTGGTGGCTAGGGTTTTGAGGTCGAAATCGGTGTGGTGGCTGTGGGTCCCGACGGTGGCTGGTAGCGGTTAGGTGGTGGGGGCTGGTTGTAACGGTTAGGTGGTGGGGCTGGTTGTAGCCGGTCCGGCGGTGGGGGTCCCGACGGTGGCAGCAACCATCGGTTGCTTGATGGGGATTTTTTATTTTTTATTTTGTTTTTTTTTTATTTTTTTTAAACTTAACCAATAATATGGCGACACGTGTGCAAGGTAGGCCCCACTAACGGATTTTTGGACGGAATCCGTTAGTTGGAGGTGATTGGTGGTAAAACTGATGTTTAATTTTTTTATGAGGTGGTAAAGTAAATCTTTTTTTTTTGGAGGTGGTAAATTCAATTATTTGGTTATTTGAAGGTGGTAAAAATCAAAATACCCTTAGATTAATTTCAATTAAATTTTGATGTGGAATTTAGTGGGAGCTTCATTAATCGTTTTGAGCATAAATTAGTCTTGATTGTGCTATTATTATTGCGTTAATTCACATAATCGGATAATTAGTTTGACTAGTTTAAATTAGGCGCGTTAATCAGATTAACCACCTAAGTTAGTAACTAGTTTGCGCTCGTTTTAAATTGTTGCTTGAATTGTTTGTAAAATGCATGGGCCATTCACTTTAGAAGTGAATGGATGAATGTAATAGATGTTATAATGCAGGTTTTACAAAAAGGCAACTAGTATGGCGCGACTAGGATAGTAAATACGGACTGCGTTCCATTTTGTATTTTTGTAAATCTAAATACGGACTGGGTCTCGTTAAGTATTTTTGTACTTAAATTATTTAGATTAGTCCTAGTTTTTCTAATAGTTGCATAAGAAGACGAAGCCAAGAAGATGCAATGAAGGCCTTGAAGATTTGAAGATTCAAGTTTCAAGGGGCTCATGCTAGTTTTCCAATGCATTTTTATTCATGCCTTATATATTTTTCTTATATATAATTACAATATTAGATGCATGTTTAGGATTTCGAATGTTGAATGAGTAATTTAGATCACTTAAATCAACCAACATAGAAACCCTAAGTCCCAAAGAATATTGAGTCAATATTGTCATTCCAAAATGACACTTACGGATTTAATGAGAATAGTAATGGGCTATGCCAAAGCAAAGAATTACTACTTTCCTAGGGAAGTAAGGTATGTTGGTGGGCTTGCTAAAGGAAGACATCATATACACATTAGTTTTGGTTAAACTCAACAATATCAGTAAGGAGTCCTTAGATGTCGTGGCAAAGGAGATAATCGTTAAGGAAGCATTGGATGCAACGATTTATCGAACCAAGAATAGCTTAGAGCTATTAGCAATTAGATTGCTTACCTTAAAATATTAAGTGTTAAGACAAGCCAAAGCATGCTTAATCACTTATTGATTTTTGAGATCTTGGAATCGTTTTATTCTCGCCTAGTTGGGTTTAATTTATAAATGTATGAATAGAACGTTAATAAGTTAATTGAAATTGCTAGTTTGAATGTATTTCAATGCTTATTATGTTATCTTGATAAATGGTTATACTTTGAACTTATATTTGTAGAATTCTAAATCAAATTATAATGTTTCCAACGATTGGTAAAAGGAAATCTTTTGAGAGTGGTTCTCAAAGAAAGAAGAGGCATTTCTAAAATACAACTTCTCATAAATGACTTTTATGGCTTAGTCCAAAAGGACGGTTGAACATCATGTGTTCAAAATACTAGGTAGTTTTGATAAACATGAAGTATTGAGTTGAAAACTCAAATTGTCAATAGTTGACAACCAACATATCTTTTTCGCTTTATACACTAATGAGTAGGACTCATTGATGTAGTAATTCAAGTACGAATTAAAGGAAAATATGTAACTTTTTTTTGCGGAGCATTAGATATTTGATTACGCCTAACAAAGTATAAAAGTCAAAATACTTAAAGAAAAAGTTCTTAAAGTTGTGAGATGATGCATGATAAGAAATATAGGAAACAAGGAACAAAGAAAAGGAATTTGAGATTCCAATTCTACTTAAGAGTTCATGTTATCGTAGTTAAACTTAGTAACTTATCTTCACAAGTATTAGATATTGCTTGAGAGTTCCACTTTCGAAGTGACCTCTAAACAAATGAAGTTAAGCTAAGTTATTGACTTACGAGCTTGGAATGAAACAAGTAGGTGCTACATCAGCTGTAAGGTCATCTGCTTTGTTTAAATACCTTTTGTTTAAGTAGGTGAAACAAGTAGGTGTCCTTCGAACAAGTGTATTATTCCGATAGAGGGTTCGAAACTAATTAGGAAAGCTAATTATTTAGTGAGGACAAGTGATCGGAATGCCTAGCTGGAGGCCGCTTCCGATCAGTAATATTAATGAATAATTGATATTACAGTTTGCTCTTGACGGAACCCTCCGGGTCACACCCAATCGTGTAACCGAACCAAAGCGACGAATTAATCCGTGGAATTAATTGAGTCGACAGAGATTTTACGAACTAAGACGTCGGATTCCGAGCTTAGAGCGTCGAAATCGAGCGTCGTACGTCGAGTCAATTTATGCAATCGACGAGACGAGAAAATAAGTCAAATGACAAGTCATCGCAAAAGACCTAGCCTCTGATTGGCCTAGCTAACCAAGGATTAGGCAACATTAGCTAGCATAGCTGCTAGCCATGGACTAGCCTCGGCCGCAAGCCCAGCAGCTACGCATGTGCACTGGCCGGGCGTGCTGGTGAGCTAGCTAGCCAGCAGCGCAAGGCCTCGCAAGCAATGGCTGAGCTGGCTAGCTAGCAGCGTAAGGCCTCGCAAGCATGGTTGAGCGAGCTAGCATCAACCTGCAAGCATGCGAGTAGACCAACGCTAGCAGCGCTAGCACCAACCCGCAAGCACGCAACCAGGCCTAGCAGCAACCCGCTAGCGCCCAACAGCTCTCGTGGGCTTACGGCATGCTAGCAGGCCCAGCCAAGGGCAAGGCCTCCAGCTGGCGGTGCCTTGGAGCCCAAGGCTTGAGGTCGATCTTCCTTGTGTTGACCAAGTGTGAGTTGGTGAGTTTATGCTTGCTCTTCAAGGATGGGTTTGTGGTCCTTACCTACTTCATCCCTCATGTTGACACTTGTCATTTGACTATAATATAGCTTATTTAATTTAATTTGGAATTAAATTAATTGCTTACTTTCTCATTTCACCAACTCTTTCACATGGAAAGTTGATGGAAACTCATGAGAGCTTTTCCCTATATATAACCACCTTAAGTAATGGGTAAACTCACTTGAGTAGAACTCAAAAGGAATCTCCTATTAAGTGAGAAAGCCTTAAGTTCATAAAACTCTTGTAATTTTGGTCTAGCCCCATCTAAGCAACGGGGTAGGGGCCGATTCGATAATCAAGGGTGTGAGACATGGGAGGTCTTGCATTTGCGGGGCTTGAAGTTTTCCAAGTCCGAGCTCGATTAGTGAGCAAAGTACGCGTCAAGGGTGAGCTTCTTTCTTTCTCTTCTCTTTATGTGTTTGTGTTTTATTTATTTGCGTGCTATTTTTTATGTTGTAATTATTATACATGCGATCCGGTTTTCGGGTTTTGTTTCCGCGCGGTGTCGAACACCGCAAAACCCAACATATCTCACATTTGACATGGATCTTCTTTTATAGATCCATTTGACCTGCAACCTGTTAAACAAGTTAAAATGGATTTTTTATTTATTTTTTTAATTCACTCTCCTCCTATCTCCCTATCCCCTTTCCATGCTAATTCAACCACCATAACCACCCTCCTGCCGTCCCAAAACCCCCAGCCCCACCCTCCTGCCACCCCCAAACCCCAACCCTACCCCCCTTAGCACAGAAATCCCTACAAACACCCCTGAAAACACCACAAAACACCCCTAAAAATCCCTAGCCACCCTCAAAACTCCCTCAAGCACGCCAAAACCCCACTTCATCATCGTCATCAACAACAAAAAATCCGCTGCTCCCACCAAATCACATCAATTTCACTTACAACAACCCTATTTCAGCACCAAAAGTCACTGTCGCATCCTCACTCTCGCCTCGCGCAGTCACCGCAATAACCAATAGACCAGCCCAGCTCACTCACCACCGCACACTCCACGCATCCACCATCAATCTCACTACACACCACAGAACAACAACCTACTGTTCACCAGCCGCAATTAGCACCCATCACCACCCGCCACTTCAGCAGCCCAAAGCGGCAACACCCTCAATTACCCTCCAACCAAACACGTTGTGGCAATCCCGTTTTGAATTACCACCGGCCAACATCACCTCACACTGCAACCCTCACAGGCTGCAATTGAAGGGGTTATGCTTGAATTTTAGGGGTTTAAGGCATGATTAGGGGGTGTGGTTGGGTTTCCGAGGAAGGCGGGGGCGGGGATGGGGAGGGGAGGGGTGGCCGTTCAAACCAGGGTGACGCAAGGTTGGCTATTCAAGCTATCAAAGGGGCGGGGCTCTTTATTTTTATTTTTTTTTATTACTATTATTTTTGTTTTGTTTTTTTAATTTAAAAAATGAATTAAACCAATTAAAGGGATGATTTTCCAAACTAAGTTTAACTACGAAATTAATTATGAAAGTAGACGCGTGGCAAAACTATTTACCAAACTAAACTTCTAGGGTAAAACGCTGTCTCGGACAGCGTTTACCTTTAATTTTTTTTTAAAAAAAATCAAAGTGTAAAATGCTGCCCCCAGTCAGCGTTTTCCATGTTTTTTTTTTTTTTTTTAATTCTTAATTTCTGATTTAAAATAAATAAAAAAAAAACTTTAAGTCAGCGTTTTTAGTGTAGATTAATTTTTTTTTTAAAATTATTACCAAGGGTTTAACATTTGCAGAGAAAAATGGCGTCTTCGATGCCCAAATCTCTAAGAAAATCAGCGGCAGCAATTAGCTCGTCATCATTTCTGAATCATCAGATTTCTTCAACTTCAACAGTACCTTCTCTTCTCAAACCCAGATTTCTTCAACTTCAACAGTAACCTAATGCAGCAAATGAAGATAGAAAAAAAAAACTAAAGAAGAAGAGTATGGTGAAATACCCACTGAAGGAATTAGCAGACCCATGTCTCAAATTCTTAAACAACTCAACAAAAAAGTTACTGATTCTCTTATTTGTAATGGGGTATTGAAAAACTTTTGTTGCAGGGAGATTATGGCAGGAGGAGGAGGTACAAATTAAAAAAAAAAAATTTACATTAAAAATGATGACCGAGTCAGCGGTTTTAGTGTAATTTTTTTTTTTTAAATTTAAATCAGAAATTAAGAATTTTTTTTGAAAAAAGTCAACATGTAAAACGCTGACTGAGACAGCGTTTTACACTTTGATTTTTTTAAAAAAAATCAAGGTAAAACGGTCCGAGACCGCGCTTTACCCTGCAAGCTTAGTTTGGTAAATAGTTTTGTCACGCGTCTACTTTCGTAATTAATTTCGTAGTTAAGCTTAGTTTAGAGAATCATCCCAATTAAAGTCAACACATGACAATCGACTTGCTAAAATCAGTCACCACCAAGTCATGGATCTTTAAAAGAAGATCCATGTCAAAGGTGGGATTATTTATATCATTACACCATTTAATGGTACTATTTACCTATTTAGTCGCCGTATTTTATACATATATCAATATTTACAACTTTATCATCCTATTTGTTGCACAATACATAGGACCTAGGCACCAATACTTTTCCGAAAGTTTAGTCCCTATTAAGGGCAGTTTTGGAGAGGGCTTAGAGCTCTCAATGGTGAATGGAGGAAAGATTAAAAATTCCCTCACCACTCTTCTCTATGTTTCCCTCTCCTCCACTATATTTTCGGAGATGAAATTTTTTTTATCCACCATAAAAATCAAAATTACAGGACATGGAGCCTACATGATTTTTTTGGTGATTGAGTTCACAGCATGAACTTATTTACAAATATTGATGAACTTTTTGGTGATTATTCACCATCAAAATATGTTTTTTTACCAAAAAATTTCTTCACGGGAAGAAAAAACTTATCATTGGGAGAGCTCTTATATGTCTCCCGGCCCAATTTTTCCAAATTGTCTAACCCACTAAGCTAACTAGATTAATCTCTGATAGTTTCTGGCTTAGTAGGGTCATACTTCTTATCATTAAAAATCAATTACTAAATAATGGGATATTTGCACTACTTTGGGGGAGGGGTGATCCTAGAATATATAAGCTAGAATGCTTGTAATATAGTGTTTAATTGAGGTTTTGTATTGATGTGATTAAAACTAGAAAAAATATTATTGTAATATATGGTACGTATAACTGTCCAAAATACATTGTATATAAATAATTTAAAAATAAATAAATAAATAAATAAATTCAATTGTAATTCCTATGGGGTTTCGGGATTTAATTATGTCACCGAAGAACTTGACAATTGGATAAGGTTAAAAAAATGTGGTTGAAAACTTCAATATGCGGCATTCTTTGGTGATAGGTGAATTAGTGACGACGATAATGGAGTAACATGAATGGTGATGTCAACCCTTGTTTTTTAGGACTTGAATACATCCTCTTTACTTGCATTGTGTTCAGGATAACGATTAGACTTCTATTCTACTTCCTTTTTTTTTTTTTTTATTTTATTGGTTGCGGTGTATTTGAAATTTAGATACTATTTATAATTTAAAATGTTCTTTAAAATTATTTTAATATATAAGAAAGTTTTGAAGATTTTATTTAATTCGTTTCAATGACTAATTATAGTGCCATTTAGAATAAAAAGTAAATAAAAATATAAATGTATGATTTAAAATGTAAATTGATTAATGCATAAAAAAGAAACGGGAAAATTTAAGGAAATGAAAGGAGTAATATTGTTTGTCAATTCCTAAGAAAAAGAAAATATACCCTAAACCTTTACTTTTTTATGAAACAAGTGTAGATGAGTGGAGAAAAATATTGATGAGGAGAGAAATAGCTAGAGCAAGAGTGGAGTAACGATTGGGAAATCTACTTACAAAGGTATGGAGCAATCTTTATGAACACTCCATTTTAGCATATCGGGTAATATTATAGGGACGGGGCTGGTATTTATCCCGGCGCTGTCTGAATTGTACTTCGTATTACCATTATTATACTATTAGTCTATTATGCACTCATACATACAAAGTGTATATCTGCGGTTGTGGAGTATTATTTTATATTTTGTAGTTGATACTTTAAGAGCATTCACATAATATTGATTGTATATAAAGTAATAGTATCATACTATCATAGTCTATTCTCTTTACCTTATTCAAATTAACTTTAGTATAAAAATTAATTTAAAAAAAAAAATGGTTTAGCAAAAGTATATTCATGAAGAGAAAAAAAGAAAAGAAAAAGAAAGGTAACTTAAAAGAACAACTCCAAAAAAGAATTAGTGAAAATAAATTTTAATATGTAAAACAATGTACATTTAGCAATCATAATATTAGTTTAGTTAAATTAAAATAAGGTGAAGAGAACAAAGACTTAGTATATTAATTCATATTTGTCTTATAGTATTAATATTTTTATAAATTTTCATAATTAGGACGCTTGCTATATATTACCTGATTTGCTTATCTGAACATATATTATTTTATTTAAACATTTTTTCAAATTATGTGAACTTGATAAACGTATTAGACCTTACTTTGAACTTACTTTAGTCATAAATTAAATTTGGATGACATTTGTTAACCTTTAATAGAACTTATCTTAACTCATTTTTACTAAATCCATCTTATATGAACTTATTAACCTTTATCAAAATTTATTACTTATTTTTCAATAAATAAGTAAAAATAAAGTGAATATAAAAACCTTTACTTAGTTATCTTATAAATAAAGATCCTTCACATTTGAAATAACAATATGATGTATCAACCTTATGTCAAAGCATATTTAAACTCTCTTCTAATGGTTTAAAAAACTACTCGTACGAAGTATAATATTATACTTCATGTAATTTAGGAGTCACTTCAATTATGACAATACACCAAATCCTCAATGGAGTTGCTTTGTACACTTCAACTGAAAAAAAATAAAGAAAGATTTGTTCTTGAATGTAAGGTCTTGCTCCAATTATATTGTAAATTGTAAAATCAGTTCCAATATATGCAAACTGGTCGAGAACCCCTCTCGCGAAATCTTAGAATCGCCATTGCTTGTTGTATGTCCACTTCAATAATACGACATTGTCGAAGCTTACCTGGCCTGTTATCCCTCATTCCCTCTTAATGTTGTTGATTGTTCATTTGAGATAAATAGAGATCCCTGCATCACGTTGTAGGGATGAAGATACAAGTACCGTTGAATCCGTATTAATCACTTAGGGACTGTTTGGTTGGACTTACTGAAATGGATTTAGAATTCATTTTATGGATTTATTTGTTTGGTTGGGATATTTAAGAATGGAATCTCATACCTAGGGGTTTCTAACTCTACCTCATTCCCTTAAATCTCATACTCACCTTCCCACCAAGGATTCATAATCCATACCACTCAAGTATGAGAATTCGTTCCAGCATTAAACCAAACAACTTATGTTGGTATGGGATATAGAATCCATACCACCCAAATATGAGAATCTATATTAATCTATTCCAGCTTAGTGGACCAAATGACCCCTAGTACATAAACCTATCTTGAACCTCAAAAGCGAGCATGTACTTCTAAGCAGATATAGTTGTGCCGTGATAGTGAAAAGCAGTGACATGTAACCTGAACTTCTAACTTGAGCCAACAATGATATGTATTCCACCCGTACCCGAAAAATAGGTGAAAACAGTAACATGTAACCTGCACCAATACAGACTCGACATTAAGTGATAACCTAATAGACATGATACTTTATGACCTGAACCAGAACTTGTAATCAACTTAATATTAACCGAAAACAAATTTGACTAGACTTGATTATGATCCGAACCCGATTAGCACTCGACTTGTTTAGAACCTGAAATCAATTATAACTTGTCACAACTTGTTACCAACTCAAATGGATATTGATGACCGACAATCGATTTGACTCGACCTAACAATGATCTGAACCCAAAATAACACTCAACTTGATTAAATTTAACAAAAATAAACACTTAACATAATCTACTACTTACCTCAATAATAGCGATCAGTTTAGTGACCCATTATCCAATTTTATCCAACTCGTTAAACCAACTTATATTGACCCGCTTTGATATTGTTTTGACTCAAATGTAATGTGGATATTTTTAATTAAAAGTTGAATTGAAAATGTTATCAAAATTATCATAAATAGAAATAGCGGAATATTATACTTTTTATTTGACCTATTTACTCTATTTTGTATTATACCCGATTCTAAGAACGACCCGACCTGACTAAAATTTGACACGAGTCTAAGAATAACCCGACCTGAAGTTCATCCGACCGAAATTTACCTGCTTCAAACTTGTCTGTAACCTGACTTGACACACATCAAACCCAAAATATTACCCGACCCAAAATTGACTCAAATCGAACCCGAACAGCAACCGAAAAGATGTAAATGTCATAATTCAAATTGAACTTGACTCACCCTGACTTGTAAGTCAGAAAAAACAAAGCCCGAATTGAATTTGATCTGAAACCTGACATGACCCAACTTGAACCCAACTTGAATACCTGATATAAAAATAAAAAAAAAATAAAAAAAAAATTGATAGCAATATTTAAAATTTTATGAATTATGAAACAAGGGAATGTAAAGGTGCAAGCTAGACTTTACATACATGCAATTCTTTTTAACCAATTAATTTTTTTTATCCTCTAAGTGTAATTTTACTTGTCTCCTTCTTATCTTAGTCCAATACTCTAAAAGTATGATGGATAAGTTGTTAGAGATATGAAATAATCAATATTAGTGGAAATCCACAATTTAAATTCTTATATGTGGCTAGTCATATGGTGTAACCACTTCACATAATCACATATAAGGAAATTAATTAAGTAATAAGGGTCACAGTGATGAGAAAATGAGATTATCTTAACGTATGTAGGTTACTTAAATGAGAAAAAAGGGTTACTCTCTTAAATAAGTGGAATTATTCTTTCCTTTTTTAAAACAAAATAATAGAGGTTACTCGAATGTACAAATGGGGTTACTTATTTCTAAATTACTTGATTTTACTCGTATAATGAATTTGGGTTACTTTTATGGACAACATGGGGTTACTCTTATGAAAAAATGAGGTTACTCATACATATAAATGAAGATTACTTTATAAACCACTGTGGTCACACTGTGTGGCTAGCCACATACAAGACTTACCCCTGGAAAATATTATGTGATATATTTTCCATATTGATATTAATTAGTAGAATAATATATTTAGCATTGTTTATGTTAAGATATTATTTAGTGAATATATCCTTGGGATTTATACTTATGGTAGAATATCTAACCTTTATATTTCCTTCGTATTTTATTTAGTTGCATCACTAATTGCGGACTCCTAGGCAATTTTTGGAGTTGAGAAAGATAGAAAGAAAAAATAAAGAGGGTTCATGTGATAGGAGAGAGATAGAGAGATTTTATTTACTAAAATGAAAAATAATGCATATATATTGAAACTTCCATTTTTAGAAAATGATGCATAATAAAAAAAAAACTGGAAGAATTATAAGATAAAGCATAAATATATTGTTAAATTTTAATAATAAATTTATTAAAATATGACAAAATCTAAATTTATGTCAGAGATAAACATGTAAACATATCTCCTCTCACAATATATTGTTTTTCTTTTGTGTAATAAATATATAAAGGGGAAGCAAAGTAATAATTGTAATAGACCCAACTCCTGCGTTATAAACTTTCCTAGGCCCAATAAGAGCATCCGTGCATGACCAAAACTAACTAACGATACTTAACCATCAAAACACGGACATGGTGGGTGTCGATTTGGCCCATCCATTGTTGATAGAAACAAGCTATTCATCAACTGCAATTTGTGTAGGAACTAGTAGGAAAGGAAATAACTATTGCCCAAAATCGAAAAACATAATTAAAAGGACAGCTTCAATAGATGATGTGTTGATGGGCTATTATAAGGTGTTTTTCCCTCTATTTTGTAGAGATTGATTCATTGCAGTTCATAGGGTCAAACTTACATCTATCATGAATTCACATAAATTTATAACAATAATACGAGTATAATTATATGAACTCTTGTTAGATTTTCAATTTATAGTTTAAAAAACACATCTAAATAGATTTTAAATTAATTACTTCCTTATATTTATCCAATTCCATTCCATATGACACACAAATACAGACTACTCAATTTATAACTATAATACGAGTATAATTACGTGAACTCTGGTTAGATTTTAAATTTATACTTCGTAATTTAAAATATACATCTAAAAATAGATTCTAAATTGATTAATTCCTTATACTTCCTTCGTTAAATGTTATTTGCAACAAAGGGGGTTTGCGCGGACTCCTAAGCAAAAGATGTTAAGCATTATTATTAAAAAATAAGAGCAGGTACTTAATATTAATCCAACCCCAAAAAAGACAAAAAAATAAAATAAATTAAATCACAATAACACTGAACTACCCAGAACCACCACCCACGCCACCCAGAACCACCCACCTTTCGAACCCAAAACCACCATTGACGAACCCTGAACCACCAGCCATAAACCCAGAAGCCAGAACCCACAGACGAACACACCCACCACCGTGAACCCACGAACCTAGAACCACCAGCCACAAACCCAGAACCCATAGGCGAACACACCCACCACCGTGAACCCACAAACCGAAACCACCTAACCCACAGACTCACCGTGAACCCACATACCGAAACCACCTAACCCTCGCACCAAGTCCAAGACCAGGCACACTAACCCATAACCCACACCCAAATAAGTTTAATTAGATTGGATTAGTTTTTAATCAATTATGTTTTAAGTATATGATTGATGTTATAAAGTTTTAAGTAAAGGTATTTTTGTAATTTCATTTAAAAAAAATGTACTAAAAATGGAAAAATTTGAAAATGTCGCAAATAATAGCTAACATGGTAGTATTTATCCAATTCCACTACATTTGACGCGCAAATACAGCACTACTCAATACTCATCAACTCAATACTCATCAACTCAAGCAAGCTTGATAATGCTACCCACCTACTATTAGATATATAACAACTAATTATTTACTTCAAACCTTGACCAATACCTTTCTTTTAAAATATAGCCAAAACGACTGTCATGAGTTACCCTTATTGACTTAGAGTAAGATCAATATCAACTGTTAGGTGGTGTCCAACGAAAAATTTCCAATATCCAGATGACAATCATAGTACTCCATGAAATTACTCCAATCCACAACAAAGGATACATCTTTTAAACGTTTAAAATGAATGCATAAATCAATAAAATTCCAATCGTGCATGTAAATTAAGAGAAACTGTATAGGAAACAACTTTATTGAATTCTCAAAGATCACAATAGGGACAGGAGAAACTCTATAAGTTCATATGACTTGAAAAAAAGAAGAAGAAACAAAACATGAAACCAATCTATAGCTTTTTAAGTAAACAAATATATATAAATCGTTTCCCTAGCTATTCAACTTATGAAAAGAGTTTGATAATCATAAGCAACGGGGATAATGAAATCTCTGAACACAGAGGTAATGTAATCTCAGAGACGAATAATTCCATCTTCAATGCGATGCAATTTTAAGAATAATGGTCTTATTGATCCATGACTTCCAGCTTCCGTTTCCCCTTCTTGTTATATTGGAAGCAGACTCAGCACCGACCTCAACATTTGCAGTTTTCTCGGGCTGTGGCTTCTTGCACAGAAGAAAATTCCGGGTACCATGAGCTCCAATTGTCTCAAGTGGACTTAAAGCTGTAAAAACCAGAAACATAAAGAAAAATCAGACAATTGATACAGGTAAATCATTAATGCATCAGTGTAATCAACAAGTTTAGTCGCAGGACAATCATATTGAAGATAAATTTCGTTAAAGAGCAATCATGCAGACAAAAGAAAGCAATATCTAAACAAAAAAAGATAGGTATAGACAACTACATAGACAAGTACGAATTTATGAAAGATTGAATGTTCACAAGCCTCAAGTCAAAGGTACAAATTAGAAAATAATCTAAAAACATAGAACAAGATCCACATGGCCCAGCATTTGACATGCAATGTAGACAATCGGTAAAGCAGACTAATCAGTGTTCCAATTTCCAAACCTTCCACAATGCAGGAGATTTAAAAAGTTAAGCTATCTAGTAGCTCATTTAGAACTACTGAACGCGCAAAGGTACAGAAGTTGTAGATATTATGGTAAGAAAATGCTGACGGTAAGATGAGCAATAAGTCAACATTAGAAATTTCTCTTTGTTATATGGGCACCATCTAACAGACGAATCTAGATATTCAGATAGACAATGCAAAGCATTACAACTTCATAATTGGTTCATCTTACTAACACCATTGTTCAAAAGACACCAAAATTATTGCGATTAAAGGATGCTTCAAAACCTCTAAACCAGGATCACTAAAAATGTGTATTCATAATGCTAAGCTCATACTTGTGTTTTTCAATAACTAATCTCTAAAAATGGCAGTTTATTCTCCCATATATAACTTTGAAAATACGCCAACCCTTTAAAGGCAAATTCACTGGAAAATAACCCATCTAAATTTATAAATTAGTCGGAACCTAGAAACGCATATTACACAGAAAACTAAAGCCAAATTTAAGAATTCCGGAATCAGTCCATACCATAAAAACATACTCCATAATGCATAGTGGAAACAATTCTTTAATTTTCCAATGTAATTACGATAAGCAAACACCGCCTTTCTAATTTCTATTGCTTATACTTCCATTCAATCCCAAATTAAGCAAAATCTAAATTTTCCAAGTTCACCTAACCAAGTCAACAAAAACTAAATTTCACCTAACTTAAATTACAAATACCAAATTTCACCTAACCTAAGCACAAAAATACAAAATTCTAAATCACAAAGTTATATTAATCAACAAAAAAAAGACTATAATAATATTAAATTAATAAAATTAAATCGAAGAAAAGGAAGGAAATTAATACCATCAGATCCAGCAGAAGGGCAATGAAGGAGGAAATCATTAAGATTAGAACCAAGAACAGGAAGACGACCTTCACGAGCATAAGATTTCAACGCCATATCAATAACAGCAGCAACAAGCTCGCCTTCATTCACGACAAATCTTAAAGGTCCAGCACTTCCTAGAACATTCACCGTAATCAACACCCTGTTTCCCTTTGCCTTTTTTTGCTTGCTTAGCAACATATTTTTCCGATTTTTTTTTCTCCAAATAATAATTCAAAATTCTCAGATCGAAGAATTGATTTGTAACCCCAAAAAAACACAAAATTTCTTCCCGAAAATCAAAAACAATAATTCAAAATTTCCAGATCGAATGATTGAATTGTAAAAATAATAACCCAGAAAATTTTTCTGGAAAATTGAAACAATGTAGAATATTTAAGGGTCAAGGCCGAGGCAGCGGTAGTACCAGCCTTCCATGCAAGAACCGAAAGCGAAAGCGGAAGAAGATGACAATGAATGAACGAAGATCCCCCTTGTAAAGAGGAAGGGGGAAGATCGCATGTAATTTTTACTTAAGATTTCCACCATTCACAACCAATTTAATCTTCCAATTGTTGTTTTTTTGCAGAAATCTAGCTATTCTTCTGGATTATTGCTCAAATTGAAGCAAAAAAAAAAACCCAACAATGGCGGAAACAAAGGATACTTAGAAAAGAGGAGAGAGAAAGTGGAAGTAGATGAGAAAATTGGAGAAGGCGGAATTTATAAAGGAAGAAGAATTGAGGGTTAGGGTTTGTAAAAGGGGGGAAAATTGAGGGTATAATTAACAATTCATGATGTTCTGAAGTTGGGTTATTTAAATAAAAAAATAAAAGGAAGAAATTAGGAAAGTATGCGTCGACTAAAGAAGAGAGGAGATTTGATAACACACGCAGCACGCCGTTTCTCGTAATTTCTAAGCGAAGCATATGCGCTTGTACTTTAATTAGCAGCCGGTATTTAATTTCTATCGTTAATTTCTCACGTGTTTTAGTAATCTTGCCTATTTCTTATCAATTTTATATTCTTGAGAGCCAAGTTATTTTGAAATTTTGGGAACTTTCTAAAACCAAATATATATATATATATATATATATATATATATATATATATTTGGTTTTAGAAAGTTCCCAAAATTAAAAAGATATATATATATATTTATATATATATATCTTTTTGCTTTGAATAAGTTAGGATTCTATTAGGAAAGTTTTGATTGTTTACTTCATGAAGTTTATTGTTTAAATTAAATTAATTTAATTAATATGCTCCATTTGTATTCAAATGATCCTATCCTTATTTTATTTTAGGTGGTGCTAAATGATATACGTAGTACCTTTTTTTTTTTTTTTTCCCCTACCATTTATGGATTTATGCTTGGAATATCTGTTTTGGGGTTTTTTGGATGTCCTGCGGAGAGTTACAACACCGAGACTGGATCCACGCGCCTGTATCTGCAAAACAACGGAAACTCCGGTTGGGTGGAGTTCCGCCACCGACGATCAAGTTAGAACGTGTATGGAGTCCGTAAAAAGTGCGGAAAGTAAAGTATCTTCTCGGATTCCGAGAGAATATCTGCAATTAATGATTGCTCGGTTTTTTGTGAATATTTCTGAATGTGTCCCATGATGGGAACATCTCCCTATTTATAGGGTCTCGAAATGGGTGCCGCCATCCTAGGTTACGGAAACCTAGGAATGGTGGGCTTCCTTGGGAATTGGGCCAGAAAGGCCGCCATTTTTCACAATCATTAGAGATGCCACGTGTCAGCAGGGGATTGGTTCTCTGGGAACCTCACCTGAAGTGACACGTGTCACCTTCCCATTGGACCACGTGTCCTTGGTAAAAATACCCAAAACATTTGCCCCTCACGGGTGTCACGTGGCACTAGTGATACCTGTCAGGCGACCATTGGAGAACGGTTTTTAACCGTTTGTCTTCCAGGGAAATTACGGGGATGCCCCCTGAATTACCCTTCTATAAATAGATTTTTACCCCTCCCTTTTTTGGACATTTCCAAAACTTAGAGAGAGAGACATCCGTTTTTAGAGAGATAAACTCTGTCAACCGCCTGTATACCTTGCAAGTAGTTGCTTTCATTTCACTACTCACAGCCGGTACACCGTCTGGGTAGTTTGCAAACACTTATTCTTTTTCCAAGGGGTACATCCGGTTATCTCTTCTAGAACCGCCTGTGTACCCTTCAAGCAAGCTTTGGCATTTCAAGTGGGCACAACCGGTTACCCGTCTGAGCCTTCTTGCAAACAATTGTTCAGTTCCCGCCTGTTAGTTCAGTCGGTCACCGCTTGACTACTTTGCAGCTCATCTCATAGGTACCGTTTCACCTCTTCTCAACTCTTTCATATATTTCCATTTGTGTACATTTCACTCCATTAATAGATTCACCAATAGCACACACAACACATCATAGTTTAGTGGGCGGCTGGTCCCTTGGGACGGCTGAGTCTAGAATTGGGGGAGCCGCCTCTGGGTGCCTGGATCACTCTTTCTCATCTCCCAATCCGACCGTCTCTGTGTTTGTGCAGGACACTATGGCTAGGACTAGGAAGACGGCTGTAGATCCGGAGTATAGGGAGGAGAGCACTGAAGAAAAGCCGCCTGAGGGAGATCAGGCTTAGATAGCAAGAGGATCCTCCATGGGCACACCCAGCACACCTAGTGATGGAATTCTAGAGTCCAAAAACGGAGACGGAGAAGAGGCCGCCTCCATATCTTGTCAGGAGGAGGCAGATGTGATTGCCACTGAGAGAGACGGGAGTGAATCCGCTTCTGGGTCTGACTCCGTAGCCTCCAGCAGCTCTCTATCTCCGGATGTGGATAGTGAGGAAGAGGAGAGGCCAACATGGAATAACAAAGGGGATCCATTTCAAATCCATATTTCAGCCAAAGACAGGGCAAATATGGAGAGGCACCTGGAGGCTGTTAAACTTAAGCGTCCTCTGGGTATGTGCAAGTTACCTCAAATCCCGGATGAGGATTATGAAAAAATAATAGAGGCGGGGTTTTTGGAACTTACAACCACCGCTCTCTCAACCGGAGAATTAATTAGTGCACCTAAAAACTAGGTACTTAAACCTGAGTTTTTAAGGGACGAGGTGTTTTTGTCCGCCTGTGGGTTGAGCACCCAATTTTGACAGACGTATGTAGATTATTTTTCCGGCTATGTTTTGCCGTCTCTATCTTTTGTAACTTGTGTTTTTTCTTGCTTGATGATCTAACAAACGGTTTTGTTTTGCAGAAAATGCATTAAACATGCTTCCTGTCGACAAAACGCTTGCTAAGTCCGCCGCAGATATCTACAGGGAGAATGAGGAGAAGAAGAGAGCCGCATAGACGGCTAAAAATAAGGTATTAACCGCCTGAACCAACTTCCAATTTATTACTTTATTTCTATGTGTACAGACGGTGATGTACCATTTGTATAGTTTGTGCCTGGTCCCAGCTTTATGCCTAATTTCTGACTTGTTTTCTAGGAGGGATACAGAGCTCCTAGATCCTTTTCCAGGGTCATCAGACCAAGGTCTAGTGAGAAGACTTCTGGCAACAAATCCAGGAAGACCTCGTCTGCTCAAACGGCTTCTCGGATGTCCGTTGGAGGAAAGAGTCTACAATTATGCGTTGACCTTTCCTCCCAGTCGAATGTTGCTGCGGCGCCGTCTTGTGTCCTGCCTCCTAGGGCTGCAGGCGATTTGAGCCTTCAGCCGCCTCACCAAGGCACTGCTGAATTCTTCAACTCCCTTGAGCTTGGCTTACCCATGCGGGTTAAGTCACATTCTCGTCTTTAGTTAGAAGGTTCCTCTGGCAGCCGGCAATCTATTGGAGGCGGTTATGTTACTTTCTCACCATCTCTTCCTGGTGCAGATCTGTCTCCCCGGTGGCAGGATGTACAACAATTTTCCAGGGCCATGTTGTAGGCCGTCTCCAAGGAAGACAAGGAGGCCATCCCGGGTATACATGCGTTCAATGTTGACCGCATCCTGGCCCAGCTGTCTGAGGTATGAGTGTTTCTCTTCCATCTTTACTAACTTCTTAGTATTTGCCAGTTGCAATCTAACACTTTTAATGTACAGGCGATGCTGCGGGTGGAGGGGCTGAAAAAGTCGTATGCCCGGAAACAGGAAGAGGTAAGGCGGGCAAAAAGAGCCGCTCTCGACACGTCTGATGTTTTCTCAGTACAAAATGATTATTCATGACCTCGAGACTAAGTCTGAGCTTTTGCAACAAGCGGAATCTATCAAGCGGCTTAAAAAATCCCTCGATGAGGCCAACACAAAAATCTTCAATCTACAGGCACTAGTTGATAACGCTGAGCTCGAGCTCAAAAAGAAAGAGGATGCTCTCAAGTCCTTGGAGAACACTAATAAGGAGAACACCTCTTTGAAAGCAGACAATGACCGCCTGTTGAAGGAAAGGGCCGCCTCTGAGAAAAATTTCAAGGCCATGCTGGAGGCTAAGCAGAGCCGGCTCATCGAGGAGAATGAGCACGACTGCGAGAACCGCATGAAGATGGCCTAGTCCCTCCTAAGTCCAGAGGTGGGTTACAGCACCTGGGAGCTTGCCTACAAATATGCAGATCTTGCTATCCTGGCCAAGGATGAAAACCAGCAGGAGCCAGAGCCATTCCAAGACTGGGTCAAGAAGGAAGCCGCAGCCGTCGAGGAGGAGGCAAACTTTGAAAGAGATGAGGAAGATCTTGAGGAGGACCAGGAGACCTCTGCCCCAGTTCCGCCTGAAAAGGATGCGCCTTCACCCCCGGCTTAGTAATTCAGCTGCATGTATTTCCGGTCTGCGTGCCGTGTATCATTATGTCTCTTTTAACCGGATGAGGATCCGGTTAACAATTACTCTCCCGGCCTCTTGGTCGGTTTTTTAATGACATGTTCTACTAAATGCGTCGGTGTTTGCCAAATTTTGCTTCAATTTTTCAATTCTTTCATGCAATTTTTGTTAAGTAGCTGAATGCATGTGGCTTCATTGATACATCAGGTGTATTTTGCTCCTGGACGGGTGTTTTTTTTGGTAATTGTCCCAACCCAAGCGAGCAGTCGTCCAATAAGCATCCGGATGGACGTCAAACAGTCATTGACCGCCTCTGAATCAATACTTAATATTTAATTCTAAGATGGAAAAACAGGCGTTTTCTTTATGGCGCCTGGGTTTCAACTTTGAATTTTCGAGTCAACCGACTGTGATTTACCCCTTGGGATAATCAGTCTTTGCCAATTGTCTAATAGCAAGCGGCCATTGACTGTGTGTAGGTGTCATAACCAAGTTATGTTTTAGCTGCTATTATGATAACCGTTTGTATTGCTTCTGAACAATGACCGGTTATATCCAACCAAGATATCAGTTATCGTTTGTATTGCCTTTGAGTAATAACCGGTCATATCCAGGTCTCAATTGATCATTTAAACGGCTGCAAGTTATCTCAAATTTAGATAGTTGGTTGGGCCGTTTGTGTTATAGTTTATAGAACAATGTACCACCCAAATGGGAGATGTTCTCTTTGACGAATTCACCCGGATGGGCGTCGCCGATTGCCTGCTCATGTTGGGGCAGGTGACGGTTTCAAGGATATCTGACCATTGGCCTCATCAATAGCTGCTAAGTATTTGGCTTAGCTTATCTACTCATGCTGGAGCAGACGTAAAGAATTTATACAAGTCCATTTGTACATTGTACAAACGGTATATATACAGAAAGCAATAAACATGTGAAAATAAAGCTTCTTTTCATTGATAAACTTTATTTACAAAAAATTTACAAGTCTCAGAAGTAGTACTTTTTCAAGTTGTCTACTTTCCAAGTTCTGGCTAGCTGCCTGCTGTTTAGGGTAAAAATTACCCATGACAAATGGACCAATCCGGACCTGCCACGTGTCCACCACGTGGGCCAATCAGCGTCCG